TAGCCAAAATAATATCATCTATATACACCAACAGAGCAAGAAAAGAATTGGAAAGAATGTTTGACAAAAAAAGATGAATCAGTAGCACCATGAACAAATCCCTGTGTAGTAAAGCTGAAGATAGTTGACCATTGGCGAATAGCTTGTTTAAGTCCATAAAGGGACTTTTTGAGCTTGCAAACCTATGGAAAGAGGAAGCATATAAACTTCTTCATCAAGGTCACCATGCAAAAATGCATTGTTAATATCCAATTGATGCAGAAACCATCCCTTAATAGCAGCAATAGCAAGGATGTTCTGATAGTTGTCATTTTGGCAACAGGAGCAAATGTTTTTGTATAATCAAGTCTAGATTATTGTGTAAAGTATTTGGCAAGGAGCCTAGCTTTATACTGTTCAACAGATCTATCAACTTTACGTTTGACCTTGAATACCCATTTGCAACCAATATGATGTTTTCCAGGAGGTAGAGAAGTGAGATCCTAAGTGTTGTTAGATTCAAGAACTTTTAATTCAGCTTGCATAGCATTACGTCAATGTGAGTGTTTAACAGCTTCAAAATAAGTTTTAGGCTCACTGGATGTAGTAATAGAAAGAGCAAAACCCTTATGTGAAGTAGATAAATTAGAATAAGAAAGTACTTGAGAAAGAGTGTAGGGTGAGCCTGTGCATGAAGAATCTATGTCTCTTTGATCTGTGGAATCATGAGTAGCCTGAACAGCCTCCTTATTGATCAATTGACAATGGTAATCACGAAGGTATGAAGAGCATGTCTGGTTCTAACAGAACGTTGAAGAGAAACAGATTGTGGAGAAGGATCAGAATTAGAAGGTGAGAAAGTATTAGAAGGAGAAGTAACAGAAGGAGAAGAAGGAAAAGGTTCCAAAGATTAATCTGGAACAAGATAAACAAAAGAAGTATTTGAAGATGAAGAATAAGGGAAGTGTTTCTCATAAAAAATCACATTTCTCGAAACTATAATTTTCTTGATATGCAAATCCAGAACTTTTTAACGTTTGGTGCCAAGTTTGTAACCCAAAAAAATACCCTTAATGGTTCTGGGAGAAAACTTGGATTTGTTATGTGATAGTATAGGAACAAAACAAAGACAACCAAAAATCTTGATATGAGATAAATCTGGTGGAGATTGATATAATAATTCATAAGGAGTCTTGTTATTTATAATGAGAGATGGGGTACGATTGATCAAGTGTATGGCATAAGCAATAAAGAAAGGTCAATATGAAACAGGTAGATGACTTTGAAATTTTAAAGCACAAGCCACATTAAGAAGATGCTGATGTTTGTGTTCTGCTAAACCATTCTATTGAGGTGGAACAAGATAAATAAAAAAAGTATCTGAAGATGGAGAATAAGGGAAGTGTTTCTCATAAAAAATCACATTTCTCGAAACTATAATTTTCTTGGTATACAAATCCAAAACTTTTTAATGTTTGGTGCCAGGTTTGTAACCCAAAAAAATACCTTTAATGGCTCTGAGAGAAAACTTGGATCTATTATGTGATAGTGTAGAAACAAAACAAAGACAACCAAAAATCCTGATATGAAATAAATCTGGTGGAGATTGATGTAATAATTCATAAGGAGTCTTGTTATTTACAACGAGAGATGGGGTACGATTGATCAAGTGTATGACATGAGCAATAAAGAAAGGTCAATATGAAGCAGGTCGATGACTTTGAAATTTTAAAGCACGAGCCACATTAAGAAGATGTTGATGATTGCGTTCTACTAACCCATTCTATTGAGGTGTCTCAACACATGAAGTTTGGTGTATTATACCCTGAAGATTATAGAAATCAATCATCAAAGACTCAGGGTCATTATCACTTTTAATAGACTGAACTTTAGAATGAAATTGAGTGGAAACCAAGTACAAAAATTCTGTAATAACTTTATTGTTTCGAATTTACATTGCATAAAGAAAATCCATGTAAAACGGCTAAAGTCATCTACAATAGTAAGAAAGTATCTGTAACCAGAGATAGAATTCTCAGTAGGACCTCAAATTTCCACGTGAATTAACGCAAAACAATGTGTACTATTTGTAGTACTCAAGGGAAAAGACAAACGTTTTTGTTTGGCCATACGACAAATATCACAAACAAAATTGGGAGGAATAGAAATCCCCGAATGAGATTGCAGAAGTTGCTGAAGTTTAGGAATGGATAAATGCCCCATGCAATAATGTCATAAATCAAAAGATGTGGTGGACAAGGATGAAACGTGATTGACAACTGGTGTAGGTGAAGAACATGTCAAGTGATAAAGACCATCTCTATGCTCAGCTAGCCCAATCATTGTCCACGATCGAAAAGTCTATATGAAACACAGATGATTAAAGAAAATAAAGCAACAATCAATAGTTGATGTAAGTTTATGAACTGATAATAAATTAAAAGTAAATTATGGAACAAAGAAAACTAGAGTAAGTGTGAGATCTTGTGAAATGTGAACAACTCCAATATGAGTAACTGGAAGAATAAGAACATTAGGTAATTTAACAAAGAAATTGTTGACAAGAGTATAAGAAGTAAAGAGACTTAATGAAGAAGTAATATGATCCGTTGCTCTAGAATCAATGATCCAGTCCTCAATACTGGAATGCTTTATTGTACTTACTGAAAAAATGTTACTAATGATTGGCATACCAGCTTTCGGTGGAGGAAAAGTAATAGGATGAGATGTGGTAATAGTTGAAACTGTAGCAACAGTGGGTTGATTATGATGTTGAATGAGACTCAACTGCTGCTGGTATTTGCTCCTTAGTAAATGGCATAAGTGTCTAATCTGGCTGAGTGTTGGAAGCAAAGATATTATTTGCATCATACTGTCCATCTGAATGATCAACATCAACAGAAATAGGATCTCAAATGGCTGAATCATGAACCTGCACTTGATTAGTCTTCTGCATTTCTAGAGTTCCTTGACTGATAACCTGATGGATAACCATGCTTCTTATAACACTTTTCTTCAGTGCGTTTATGAAATCCACAATACGTACATAGAGGTTTCTTACAATCAATATTAAATGGTCGAGGGAATGTTGGTTTATTGAATGTATTTGGTGGTAAATTCTGATACGAAAATTGTGATTTAGATGTAAAATTGGTAGGCATACGAGGACGAAAAGGAGGTCTATATGAGTTGAAAGATCTATTAGCAAAAGCCACTGGTTCACCAGAAGGAGTAGGAAGCAGAGGTATAGCAATTTGTCGCTCATGTTGAACAGCCAGAGCAAAAGTTTTGTTAAGTGTAGGTAGTGGATCCATAAGTAAAAGTAAGCGTGAACAGTTGAAAAAATCTCATTCAAACCTCTAAGAAATTTAATAATCTGATCTGACTCTATATATTTCTTAAGAACATCAAATGCTCCACATACAAGGAGTTTCACAAGAATAAATAGGGATAGGTCGCAAGTTCATCAACTCATCCCAAAAAAATTTCAATTGAGTAAAATAATCTGTAACTGACAATTCACCTTGCTGAAATCCATAAATCTCTTACTGCAAATCTGAAATGCGAAGAGAATCTCCTTGGGTAAATCGCTCCCTTAAATCATTTCAAACATCTATTGCAGTGTCTAGCCAAATAACACTTTTGTGCAATATATGGAGAAACAGAATGCATCAACCATGATTAAACCATGATGTTGCAACACTGCCAAGTAGAAAAAGAGAATCATCCTTTTTAGGTGCTAGAATAATTCCATGTACAAAATTGAGTTTGTT